CAGGCATATCTGACACCAGTTATGAACTTACCGCGGATAAATGGAAGGCAAGACAAATTCATCATATTTTAATATTTCATCATTTACTACTTTTAGTTCTTTTCTTCACTCCCTCACATTTTATCTGACGTAGCACTTGTTTTGCAATACTGTAAATTTACCAAAATCTTTCAAAGCCATAGCCACGATACACAAATGTTTATTTATCCACTCTTGATCCACTGACTTAATGCCTGCTTAGTAAACGTGGGAATTGACGATAAAATCACTATCGAGCAATAAGCTATACAATAATTCGTCACCCAAGTTGAATAATCATATCAATGGTCATGTTATATTCCAGCTAGGGTTCTCTTTACCTATTGCATTTAATTGCATTTAATTGCAAGATGCAACATTTTACTGGCTTTACTCTTAACACATGCATACATTATAACATCATATTATTTTAGCAAGTTTTGAAACTATCAGTAAATACGAGTGAATTAGAGCTCTGGTCACCTCAGGTCACATAAAGTGATGAAATACCGATACTTGAATTATTCCATTACGGTGCCAATTAATTTCATTTTTTTATCAATCTAACCAGTTCCCAAATATAGAAATGAATGCCCTTCGTTCCTTCTTACTTTCCCAATATACATTGGCATATAGCGCAGTCACTAATATGACCATTTCAATTAGGTATCGTAAAACCGCTTAATTGGTGAAATTTAACTGCATTTATTATTTTACATCCCATCGAATGCACCAACGCAAATAATTACGAAAAAAATTTGTTGTTAATTTGAATCAATTTTCTCAGCTTTTTTATGGCTGACCAACCTACTCGCTATCTTGTAATCTAGACTAAAGGCTTACTTCGTTTTTTTAAGTGATTTCTCTATATTAAAAATTGTTTTATTGCTAGAGAAAAAGTTGGCTCTTTTAGCAATAATGCAGCCTGTTATACCTTTTACCCATTTATCCTTTGCTTGTAAGGGAAATACTTGCTTTCCAGACAACCTTGTTGAACAATCCCCTCACTTATCGCTTCGACCTTTTGAGGCATTCATCCAACGTACCTATCCCCGTTCTATTCCCTCATGGCTAACCTGTATCCCTTATTATCAAACATCACCACAAATAAAATGATACCTTGTTCTTATATTTTGCCACCATTTCACTTTTACCATGAACTTCATGCCATCATTTAGGCGCGCCTTCAGGTTCTTCGCGCCGATCCAGCAACCTACGAGACTCTGCCACCCGACCCGGGCGCTGAAAGCGGCCTGCTGACATACTCCGATTGGCGCGCGGGCTACTTTGATGAGGAGACATGCCGGCCTCGTCCAGGGGTCCCTATGCCACTTAGGCCCGTTGGGATGCATACTAATACTCAACTTTGTGGCGTCGGTATGGAACCAATACATCCTGACCCAGCACAGCTATTGGCAGAATGCCCGGTTATTCGGCGTCACCTTCTTCGTTTGGTCAATCCAGACCTTACCGAAGTTGACTCTAGTAAGATCTAAATTGATCTGTCTGCTTGACCAAACATGTTTCTTAAATATTTATCCATTTCTATATTTAGGATTCATATATCCTTTATTTAAGATGTTTGCCTCAATGCAGATGTAATTCCTGTATTTTTCGCATCAAAATTAATCTTAACTATTTTGGGGCATTTTATTTACATATATATGCTTCAACCAATATCTTCATTTCCTCCTTTATTTGAAATTAATATGCATAAGTGATAAACGATTTCGTATTATCTGAAAAGAATAAGGCTTTTGCCACTATCGACTATTTTGTTTCTTTGAAAGTATGAAGACCAAGATAGTGTGGCCTTTTTCCATTGTATAGAGTTTGTTTGACCTTGTTTTCGCAACTTGGTCATATATATAGGAAGACTTAGAGGAACGCACCTAGTCCCGAGTCCATTTTATGCATACTACTTTCCAAAGTCGGACCCTGCCAACCGATGGGGGGGCAGGGGTCGAGTGTAATACGTGTACCAGGTAGATAGCAGACGGATTCTACGGGGCAAGAGGGAGACTCTGCTAGGACCCAGGGAAAGAGGAGTACGTAACAATATGGCAGACTCTGGTCAACATTCCCAGCACAAGGGTGAAGGGGGTGATTACGACAGCGTGAAGTGTAAAGGGTTTTCATGAATGCCGCTCAAAGGAGCACACTACATCTAAATAGGCATGGTAAAAATTTTGACAGTAAAGATGTAATAGGAGGATATAGGAAATGTGAATAGCCCAGGGCAGGAGAGAGATCACAACTGTTTAGCACACGTTCGATCAAAGGATAGGCTTATATGTCTCTTTGCGAGTTGCTGTGTGTTTCTCTAAGTATTCCGACATATATGACCAAGTTGCAAAG